CATTAAGTAACAACAGAATACAGTTATAAAATTCAAATTCATGACATAATGTCACAAATAAATTCATTGAGTCATGTCCACCTTCGTCGCCCTACATGAATTAAACAGAAACAAGCATGTTAAAATAGCATATGAAAAATTATTTTTTTGAAAAAATTTTCGTAAAGGTAGCAAAGTATAATTAGTTCTTCCTTAACTACTATGTTACTTACCATGATAAAAGAATTATGTATTACATACGAACATTATAAACACAAAAACCACCAAAAAAGTTTGTTAAATAAGAGATAAGTAAAAATTATATATATCGCTATATATATCTTATTTCTCACTGTTGATTTAAAAAACCTTATAAAGATTGTATGATAACGCCATCTATTGGCAGTTTATTTAAGTGAAAGGTATCGAAGTAGACTGAAAAACATTATCTAGTAAGATACCTTTAATTGATAAATACTGCGTTACACTTAACTACATAAGCACACGGCGACTGACCACGGTAATGTGCGAAAATTTCGAGTTACTTATAATCTAGTAACTAAATCGGCTACTGGTACTTCAGTTCGTAGAACCGGTAACCGATGGGGAAGAAAGCTTCTCGACTGGCAGCCTCATACTGGCCATCTCAGTGTAGCTAGACCCACCACTGGATGGTGTGACGACCATGTGCGACTGTGCGACCGGAAGTTGATGGTGGATGAGAATCGTGCTCGTGGGAGTTAACACGTACCCACTAAAAAACCCACGTTGCACCTGCGCTATCGCTTTGCCGGGGACACGGGAACACGAAAACGCAATCTTCCGCGAACCCCGGCGCGACTGAGGCCTTCTCAGGCCTCCTCTCCCCGGGTGTTAGGGACACCCGGTTCAGCCAAATGGTGCCGTGTCAGTGCAATGAACACGGCACCCCTCTCAAGCCCTCCGCGGGGCAGCAGTTAGTCCCACATCTGCCGCCCCGGGGCTTGCTATCAGTTGCTATCAGGGAAAGTTGCGCGCGTAGGCCAGCCTCCTGCGCCCTGGTCTCCGGCGGCGGATTTCCAGGGTGGCAGTTGCCTCCCTTTCCCTCTCCGCGGCCTCCTTCCTGGTAATTATGTCCTCGCAGAATGCAAGGACGGCACCCCACGACCTCTCGCTGTCCACCATAGCGCGAACCACGGCAGGCAACGAGAGATCGTGCCCCACGATAGCTGTCAGCTCTCGACGCTGCTCCCGCCAGGCTGGCAATACCCCACAGACCTATGTTTAGTATGTGGACTCAGCAGGGTGAAATAATAATGATGATAATTATTTCCAAACTCCTTTTTTTAAGAATTATCAAATCGTATTGTGTATTTTAGTAGTTTTATAAGTTGCTTAATACTTATATATTAAATAAAATTTTTTGAGATTATAATTTTTTTGCGTCATCGGTCTTGGCAGGTGGACCGATTATTAGTATTTTTTATGCAATGAACTAAAGGAATCTTTCAGTTCAGAGACTTTTTACGTAGTTTTATTTAAAGAGCCTCCTATTGCGCCTAAAATAAGTTTTCAAGTGGGGTTCCAATAAGTCTTTAAGATCTTTGCAAATGAACGATTTTTGGAATATCGTTAGTTTGGTGATAATTGTAGTATCCAAGTGCAGCCGTTTTTATAAATTAACGCCATCTACTGACTACCATATACTTACTTCTCTACAGTGACCTCGGTACTACTGCTCAATAACTTTGTAGAACCGATCTACGAGTATTTATTTCCAACGACATCTATGTATGGATGCCTTATGTATGACGATATCACGATCAGTTTCTAGTTTATTTTGGAAACAAGAGATGGTTTAAGGTTTTTCATATTTAATTATTTATATTGTGTATTATTTAAATTACAATTATGTGCTAAAAGTTATGAGTATAATAGTAGCCGCTAGTTAAATGTAGCATCTTACACCAAAGAGAAAGAAAATAAGTTTTCGTGAAAATGTTATCGTGAAATGTTTTTAGTACATTTTACAATATCATATTCAAACTCCTCCTAAACGGCTAGACTGATTTTAATGAAATTTTTGTGTATGTCTTCAGGTCGATTCGAGAATGGTTTAGATTCACAATTCGGTTCAGTATAACTTTCAATTTTTTTATTTCTAAGTTGTCGATTAAAGTCATTTGTTCAGGACAACGTCTGTGAAGTCAGCTAGTTGTTGTTAAAAAAACTATAACCTAAGTATTGAGTAACTAAATATAACAATATATTTAAATTTTATCAGGTTCGGTTTCAAAAACATGGCATACAGAATACGGCATAAAAAACACAGATACCACTATTTCATTAAAGACCGTGGGTTAATTTCGTCTTTTACTTTTTGTCATAACGGTAAACATGCGCAAAACTAGTACCTATGACTGAATACGTAACCTCCGGTGAACATGAATAAAAACATCACTTTTTTTTTAGCACAAATGAGCTTTTTGCTGAACTGCAGCAATCCTTGCGGAGACATAACGAGAAGATAACATGGATTCGTCCTTACATTACTGTCGAGCATGACCATAGAGAAGGAGAAAGATCACAGGTAGATCACAAACGCTGGTAATAAACGTACTATTTTTACTTACTCTTAATTATAAATTCTAAATTCAAAAGTTTTATTCGGGGTTTCGTGAAATCTAAATAGACGATATAATAAACTAATCTAATATCTAGTTATTCAAAATAAAATGTCGTCAATTAGCCTAAAAGATTTTAACGATCTCGTGCAAGTGAATCTCACGGAAATATTTTCGGTTATTTGCCTAAATTGTTCACCCTGGCTCTGTGGTAAGGTTTGATTTTAATAAGTACTACGAAAATCAAAGTAATGAGAATGAGTTCAGGATTTATTCGGACCGGTCCTAAAAAAATAATTCTGACAAGCAGACCGACAATTTCGTGATGGATCAGACATGATTGATAAAAGTTTTGTTTTGATTAAATTTGATCGAAACCTCGAGGAATTTGAAACTCACAAGAAGACAAAAATCGCGGATATAATAATGACGCCTAATTTAAATACAACATAATGCATAATTGATTACGATTTCGTATTGATCCCAGTATACCTCTCGGTCATCACCTAAGGTGCGACTCTGAGCTGCTTCAGAAGACGCTGTGGTTTCTTTCTGTTATCCTCAATGTCTGATAATTAATTAATGTTTACTGACCACGCCATCATTGTGATAATTGGTTGAACTAATTTTTAAATAATAAAATTGTTGAATTAAGATATGGCAGTTTTCAATATGTTTTGAAGTTAGACCATAATAATACCTGTTGTGGTCTAACTTCAGATAAATAAATAACGTAAGGAACCACAGACGGCATTTAATTTAAATAGACTGAATACTATAACATTTTCTTAAGTATTTTTGTGCCTTGCCTCGGTTTATGAGGCAAGAAACCTTTCCTTAATTTAACTTAAAGTTAAAAATAAGGACAAAATCTACAAATTTTTGATCAACTTATTACAAGTATGTTAACATGAAAAGTAAGAAATGCAAAATGTACGATTTTGTTTAAATAACCATTCATTGTCATTACTTGTGATGGTGATTCCTTATTACATTATTCTATAATATGTAAATGTGATCTGGGTCTATAGGTTTAGATATAAAATCCGTCTGATAAACAAAATAAATGCAATGCCTACACCTGAAAAGCAACAATTTCTAATTTCGATAAAAGCTGTAGCAGGAATTGAACCCCGTCCTTACATGACTGAATATTCCGAATCGAGAAACATCAACGCCACCTGTTAGATTGTCGTTAGATCCGCTTTTACACATTTGCAACGACAAAAAGTCCGCGTTAGAGGTATCATTATGTATTTGTTCCCGTTGATGTTGCGTATGGTGTAATACTTTGCCCATGTACTTTAGGGCTACTTCGACACGGTGATATTGTCCGGAAACCGTAAGTCAAAGTGTATTGTGTAATTCACATGAGTCACTATCAACATTTTTTTATGTGGAAAGTTGGCGAGTTTGCGAGAGCAGGTTCTCCTGATGAGAAGTGATTACTGCCCATGTCAATCTACATCGCTTTAGGGGTTGCGGATACATTTGCATCCTTTAAAAGAGTGGGATCCGGCTACCTCACTCACCAGATGACGAGAGTTTAATACTTCATCTCCACGCCGGTCTCTTATAAGGCCGAGTTGCCGTCCGTCCACATAACTAATTTTGAAGGCACTCGGCAAAAGCGAGTGCGCGATTTACTGGATAACTCTCCTCCTAAAACTGCGCACGAAGCAGCCACGCAGCTGCGTCTACTGTTGCACGAATGGGCAGGCTCGTAGGGGGAAGTACCATAACCTGGCAGAAGACTGTGAAAGTATAATACTGTCGCGTTTCGAACGGTGAATAAGGTAGCCGGAGCCCATTATTTAAAAGGTTGTCAGTCAACGCTTCTACAAACCCTCGGGTGCAGCAGATATCCATGGGTATTCACTTAACATCAAATGAACCAACCACCTGCTCGCTTGGCAACTTTTCACAAAGAAAAAAAATACGTTTTCGAGGCTTGTAAATCTGAGCCTCTCCAATGCTATACACTCCTACAGTAACCCGTGATCAGAACTCCATTAGCCCTCCTCACTCAACAGGAGTTATTTCGAGAATTGCCTGAACACGATTCTTTCAAAAAAATCGATACAATTAGACAACTTAAAAGATTTATTTGTAACAATAATTTTATGTAATAATATAAAATATGGACCAATTAAACATTACATGGTCTTCAACACTAGAATGATCTTAATAATTTCTTAAGTTTTGTACTTCATGCAAATCTTTTTTTATTAAAAAAAATATTTGTTTAATTATAAACAGGTACTTAAAATATTTTTATCTCTATTAATACCTTATATCAAACATATTTCAGACTTTATGAAATCATAACATACATTATTTATGTTACTTATGTCATTTTAGCGGACTTATATAAATATCTGTTCTTACTTTTTACATTAACTATTCAAGAATAAACTAACTTCTTGAGCCTCTGTTAACTTTTGGTGATCTCTTATAATGCCCGTAGAACGTGCCTCCGCCTGAAGTGTGAAACATTTGATTTGGTAAGAACCCACTCTCGAAATGTCTCCCACTGGGTTGTGGATGTCCAAAGTGTCTGCCCCTAGATAGTGCCTCATACGCTACTAGCGGATCCTTTATAATACCCCTTTTAAGGTACTCTATCTGAATGCTCGATGGGATGTAAGAGTCTAATAATGACGTAGGCCTTCGTTTTAAATGTGGCCCGTAGGGCTCATTGGGTCTCGAACTAAATCCACCTCCACCAAACACGCCACTGCTATAAACTGACTTGCCCCATGGGCGGTGGACCGGCAAAGCTTTTGGAAGGTGAGCCAAGTGTGGCGGGGGCGCTTTAAGAAGCAGCGGACTTGGATGCGGCAATTCGGATTTTACATTCGTATATTCTTCCCTGAGGGGCGTACGGGAATTGTAGTATCTAGGGATATCCTGCGTTTCAGATTTAGTGTAAGAGACATCAGTGTGTGTGGGCAAATAGTTTTGACTTTCTATGACATTCTCTTGATCACCCTCGACCTGCGCTTGGTTATGTCGCGCAGTCTCATATAGCACTTTCACCGAATGCTGAGAATCTTGTTGGTGTGCTGAAGGTGACACGGCGGTATGATATTGAACAACCGGCAATTGATAAGTTAATACAGGCGAGATACTAGCCGTAGCAGGAGCTATTGTCGGCTGGGCTGAGTACGAAACATATGTCACAGGAGTGGGGACTGGCTGGATGTAGGTTTTCGCTGTTGGCGTAATGTAAGTGCGGCCTTCAATATAGTTGCTTTGCGTTTCCTCGGTTTCAGGAGTTGGATAAGACTCCACCTGGCTAGTGCCATGTCCCGAGTAATGTGCTTCTGTGTGTGAGTTGCTTACTTGTTCCGTTTGATATTGTGGAACAAGGTAAAACTGCACTGGTACATTGGAAACGTAATTGGCTACGGGCCGCTGTGCTGAAGGTGGGCCGTAATGCGGTGCGGGTGTAACGGGAGCCCCTTCTTGTGGCTCAGTCACGTCGTACTGCTGGATGTACCGCTGTTGCTGAGTAGCCTGTGTTGGCAGTGGACTTTTAAAGTACCGGAAGAGACCACTATTTAGATACTCAATCGGCACTGACCCTCTGTCTTGTTCGATATCCACTCGCGTCTCCACGTTTTCGTAGTTAGTTCCCTTTTCGCTTTTTAAATTATCCTCCTCGATGTCTTGCAGTTCTATTTTCTTCTCGGCCGCAACGGTAAGTGCCAGTAGCAAAACTGGTACAATCTGAAAGTAAAAGCGCACGAGTGAATTCCAATAAAAGTGGCTGTCCGAGACTCGAGCCTTCGCGCTATATAGCCAAAGATGGCATGGGTAGGCGGGCCTCGACGTCGCGACTGCTAAAAGAGCGGCAAACAGGTGAATGGCAAAAAATGCACTAGAGCCTATTACAAAAACCGGTTTATTATGTCAGGTGCTTATTGAAGGGAGTGTTCTAGCTTTTACTCGCAATCTATGCGGTTAAATCGTTCCAGAGTATTATTAAGCAAGTGTTATGGCTTTGCGGTCATCGGAAGAGCCCAAATTAGATGTTACATAACTTTAAGGTGTTATGTACTTGTGATTACAATTGTATAACAAGATTAAAAGGGCTTACTGTGGAAATAATAAATAAAGAACTAGATTTTGATTTCGCTGCTTGTTGAGACTGTAAGCCAAATAATGCTTAGAAACTTATATTTACAATGACGTTAATTTAACATATATTGTAGTCAAATTTTTCATTTCTCTTGGTACAGCGGCTAAACTAACATATTTTGATAAAACCACTTTCATTTTTTTTTGCTTTTTCATCTGTAAGTATTTTTATATAAACGCGCAGTGTTCGCGTGGAATTAAAAAAAATCATTACAATCATTTGCGCGACATTTAAAGCAATTGCTGCAATTCTGTTTTCTTTTTGCAAAATAAGGTTTTTCAAACACAGTTACTGTTTTCTTTAAAATATTTTTACAATTCAAATCCGTCGACTACTGTATAGCGGTTACTATTATATTAGTGTAATGATTGAATGAATGCTATTTAGACTGAATGACTAAATTACATACCTCACGTGCCATGAATGAGAGCGAATGGCATGCGGAGGCTTTCATCGAAAAGTGGCCAGTTATGTAACATTGTATTTGTTTTTTTTTTTCTAACCATCACTACAAGTTACGTGACGTTTGAAAGATATGGAGTGGAATCCAAGGATAAGTAGTCTTACGGTTATACAAAAAATATCAATAGCAATAAAAAAACGGAGACCTAATGGAGTTGTTTTTAGGTTAACCGTCACGTTATCGCAACATCGATATGCTTGCGAAATTTTTATGTATAAAGCCTCGTAGTTTCGGTTTCGAATGTAAAGTCTGAAATAACTTCTACATTAGTTTACGCATTAAGATGAACGTCGACAATTGACAAACATTGTAAACGAGACTTACGCTTGCATTTCCTTTAGTAACTAAGTAGTCAGTAAATACAGAAGTTACAATACCTGAAGCTTTAAAATTGTTCTGCATAAAATAAATCAATTCAAATGAATTTTACATCTTAGTCATTTTAAATCTTAGTTGTTGCACAAATGTGCTGGTCCGTCCGGGGAAGTACCACAATCTCACAGAAGACAGGCGTCAAGTGGAATTGTTAGAAATTCAGCGTTTCGTCTGATGGGTAAGGTCACCGAAGCCCACTTCATTAATGATGGCAACGCATCTGCGAGCCTACGGGTGTTGCAAACATTCGTATTAAAAAACAAAATAACGCAAGAAATAAATGTAAATTAGCCTGTGATGTTGCGGTATTAATAAAACAATAAATTTAAAAAATTATGCATTTGGGCGACACAGTTAAAGTTCAGAATACCTATTTTGTAACTTTTTTGAGTTTATGTTCGTGTTCAAGTTATGTAACGCCCATAAAACTGATAACGTAGGTATTTCCAAAACCGAAAGCAATACAAAATTAATGTTTGCATTATAAATAGATTAAGCAAAATATTTTATTGATCTAAGAAAACATTATTGTAAAGTATTATATTTATGTAATCTACAAAAGTAAAACTAAATTTATAAATGAATTAAATAAGTTATTTTGTTACTTTATTACAATCTAATATAGATTGTAATAAAGTAAAATTATGTTTTAAATGCAATATTCGGTACAAACATATTTCTAAGAAAGTATCATGTTACATCCAAAATAATAATTCAAAAGTTAATTTTCTGTCAATAAAATTGGATAGGTAGAGGGTTTGTATGTAAAAATGTTATTAAGATATCGCTCTCCCAAGACAAAATAATGTGCACAAAAACCATTATATCTTTTACGTAGAGAGAGGACAATGTGAAGCCACTTTTCCTTTATCTAAAAGAGCTATCGCTGCTTTTTAATGTATTCTCACGCAAATATCATGCTTCCTGTTACGAGAACGAGCCTTGTTATTACGAGTAAAACTATAAGTAAATTTGTTTTAATACATACTAACATTAGTATATCGGAACTTTTCGAACTAAAAGGAAAAACATAGAAAGAGATGGTCTAGTCATTGTAATCTTATTTTACAGGTTCAAATCTTAGAAAAAAATTCTTAAGTGAAAAATATTGGTTGGATAATATGTTTATATACAGTGAAAATAGTTAATAATTTCTAACAAGTCTATTTTTTTAAGTAACGAAAAACCAAACAGCCTTTAAATATCTCAGTCTGTATTCATTTTATAATCGATTTACAGGAGTTCCTTAAGTATCCCTGGAGCCCAAGATCCAATAGCAATGGAATTAAGATGTAACATGGGAAGCACCAGTTTCAAACAAAAAAAGAATCCACAAAATCGGTTCACTTAGTCGAAAGTTTTGACGTAACAAACATAAAAAAAATCCAGTCAAATTGAGAACCTTCTCCTTTTTTGAAGTCGGTTGAAAATATGACAGTAAATGGTACGGACAAGATGTGTCGGTAATCATGTGACAGTAAAGCTGTGTCGGTATTCTCGATTAACGACACATGTGTTGTACATGTACTGTATCACGATTCCTGAATTAACTAGAACTTTTAATTATTTAGAAATTATAATTTTATTCGTCGCAGTATTTTATCTCCGTTTACACACTAAAGACAAAAAACAAGTTTTAAGAAGAGTAGAGCAGAATTAAGCGCTATAAGCACACACACTTCTTTGAACATCTATACTTATACGTGTATAAACTTTATACATGTATTTTATACCATTGTATCAAAAACGCAGTGATTTAGATATGCCTACACAAGTCGTACACAAACTAAAATTACATCATCCACGTAAATAAAAATGTTTATAAATAAAAAATGTTCATAAAATGAAAACTACTGGGCCAAACTATTTTAAATTTTACGGGAACAAATGGCATCAAACTAAAGAAGAATCACGTTAATCGGATCATAAATCTCAGTGTAGCACATTAATCGTACATTAATTGTACCTTGATAGTCATCAAGTAGAAATATGATAGTTATATATGTATAAATATTCAAATATATTTTAACTATTATATTAATAGTTTCAATATATTTATTATAAGATTATAATCTTACAGTAAAAGTTCAAAACCGGAATAACCGGTTTTTTTCTGACATTTTGTTATTAAAAAAAATACTCTAGTTAATCTAAAATTGCTCACCGTTAATAAATCCATTTTGAACAACTCGATAACTACAACGTTTCACGATCAGCACACTATTCCAGATCTTCTTTTAAGCTCCAAGTGCTAACCTAGTCACCACATCCTGAAGTGATGATAGCTTCAAATGCAAACCCCTCACAACCGACCCGGCAATGCTTCACGCTCACGCGGCAATGGAAACCCTACAATTTGAAAACAACGTATCGTTAAAAACTCTTACTTCACTCCTGACTACCCCGCGTAATAGACACGATACACAAAGTTCATCGTTCCCTAAACGCCGTCGTACATAAAGAGGTCACTATAAACGATATCACACGAAATATTCATATCGTAGGTAATAAAAAAAAAATAAAAGCTCGTAACAGTTGAATTTTCTATTATTTTCTTTTAAGTATTGTAATAAATAATAATGAAGGGATAAATTATATGTTTCACAAATACACCACGAAACAAAAATGCAAAAAAATTACTAACTTGGTTTTTTTAAATGTTTGCGAGCACAAATGCGTTCGGTGGGCTGTCCACTTCGTAAGTGGTCGCGCGTATCGCTTGCTGCGTTGTTAAATACAACACTACTCTAAATATTGGAGAAGTGCAGAAACGCAATCGCTATATCCTCCTAATTGTACACACAATACGCTAATTCAAACTGGAGCGAGACTTCCCATCAAAGACTGAGTGATTAACTACTAAATAATTGACGGTGAGAACCGACAAACCGAAATTAACATCAATTAAAAATGTGGGAAACTAAACTGAACGATCCTCGCAACTTAAAAGCCTTTGATTATTGATATAATTCGTTTCCGTTCGCTCTAAATATTGACATAGGCATGAGGCATTTATATAATATGGAATAAGCAAAAAATTTCATTTACAAGATTCTAAATTGCATACCAGAATTCGATTTATTATGAAAGTAAACATGAAACACAGTTATTCACAACTTTACTAAAATATAATCTTGTCTTTTTCTTTAATCTGCTTTAATTTGATGACTCCGTGGTGCAGTTGCCAAGGTATTGGCTTCGGCGTCGGGGGCCGTGGGTTCGATTCCCACACGGGACAACTATTTGTCCGACCCACAGATAGTTGTTTCGCATCTGGGTGTTTGTCCTCGTGCAATTTATGTTTGTAAAACGTCCTTGCAACACAGGATAATGTTATCCTAAAGTGAGGGCAATGTTTTTAAAAAAAGAAAAAAAAAAACCATTGGGAAATATGCTTTAAGCTTTAGTAACGTAAGATAGGTAAGAAGGTAAGTAAGACTTGTTTGATGCATTTTATTGTAAATGATTATTCAAATAAGCTATCGCTAAAGATTTCACACAAAGAATTCGAAACAAGTTATATTCTTCTAAACATACGCTAAAAAAGGTTCCCTTTTTATTAAAAATCAAAACAATGCTTATCCAATTTCTTACATGAAAGATATCGTGACTTACTCTTCTACTACGGATTAAAAAAAGTGTGTAAAAAACCTATAAAGGTCATGTTTTGAAACATTGAGCCAAAAATAAAGTAAATTCAGGTTTTGTAAAACATGTTATTACCGACAACAATGCAAATCATGTACTTGGGTAGGCATCTCCGTCGGATATTTATAAAAAGCAAACATATAAATATTATGAGCTATACAAATATATAAGAAATCGTGAGTTTTTTTAAGAATGTGACTCTTGAGAGACTTTTTTCTAGTAAATTAATTAGTTCTCACGTTATTACCGGGTTAATCACATATCTATCTCTTCAAACTACTAATTTTAATAAAGTCTTACTCTTCACCATTAATATTATACTTGTGTTGAAGTATTGTAATAAAGCAATAAAAGATTATTTTGACATAATCAAAAACTCCTATTCAAACGTAATGAAATAACTAAACGTCTACCGGTTATGCCTATTAGTGAACCTAGGTCACTCACCTCAATTTGTTTAAAATATTGAAACTTATGTCAATATGTTTCACAAAGTTAAAATTTTTTGTAGCATCTACTCTTACCTTAGTGTTCTATATTCTATTCCTTTGCAAAAAATCGATAAAGGGAAGACGTAGTCTTTGGTTTCAGAAGAAGACAATAAGTCGGTAAAAACTTGTTACGCAGTTTCAGAGGGAAGTAATACTTTAAATTATTCCTGGCATGTAAACCTTTGACACGTAAATGAAAGAACAATATATTATATTTCATCATAAGTTCAATCAATGGTCCTTTTTTTAAAAAAAAAAAGTGGGCATACGGGCAGGATGCATCACCTGATGGAAAGTGATCACAGCCTCCCAGTAACATCTGCAAAACTGGAGGGCTTGATAACAGATTGGAAACACCGCCGACAGCAGCTGGTTTCACACAGTGGTTGTAGGAGATGGCTGAAAATCGCGCTGTTGTAGAACCGTGGACATCGAGGCGATGTG